TTCTTTTACTTTACTGCAAAAACTTACAATTGGTATTAGAGCTAAAATCATCTTGAGGGGCTTGTGAGAGCAAAACAGATTCAGATTTTGGTGAGAGAGAGCAAACACGAGTGCTGGTGAGGGAGAGAAGCTGTGTAAAAAAAAAAAAAAAAAACACAGCCATGTCTTTAAACAATTCTTCAACACTTTGTAATCCTCCTATGTTCACGGGAGAAAATTACAGTGTTTGGGCTATCAAAATGAAGGCCTTTCTAAAAGGTAATGGTGTGTGGGAATCAGTAGAAGATGGATTTCATCCTCCTATGCTGCCAAACAATCCAACTGGAGCCCAAATGAAGTAACATGCTGACTATGTTCAAGCCTCATACAAAGCCCTCTCATATATTCATAGTGCTATAATAGATGATATTTTCTCAAGGATTATGGGAGCAGAAACAGCACAAGAAGCATGGGATACTCTTAAGAAAGAGTTTGATGGCAATGCTCGGGTTAAAGGTAACAAGATTGTAACCCTTAAAAGACAATTTGAGATGCTAAAAATGCAAGAGACAGAGACAGTCCATCAATATACAAATAAATTGATGGATGTTGTTAACCGAATCAGACTTCATGGTTAGGAATTTCCAGATCGAAAGGTGGTGGAAAAGATTATTGTTAGTGTACCAGATAAATTTGAGTCCAAGATTTCTGCCATAGAGGAATCTTGTGACCTCAAAGAGCTAACCATCATTGAGCTCATAAGCAAGCTACAGGCTCATGAACAAAGGCTGGTTATGAAAATTGATGAAACTACAGAAGGAGCCTTCCTTGTAAGGCAAAAAGGCAAACAACCAGCCACTAGTTCTGAAAGCAATAAGACCATGGGTTCTAACCAAGCATATCAGCAGCATCAACAAAGCAGAAAAGGGAAGTTTCCTCCATGTTGTTATTGCAGAAAATCAAACCATGAAGAAAAAGATTGTTGGTTCAAAGGCAAATCACAAATTGGTGCAGATTTTGTAAAAAATATGGCCATATTGAGAAGAATTGCAAGGCTAAGCAACAACAACAGCATCAAACACAATATCAGCAAGCTTAGTACAGACCAAAGCAACAACAGCAAGTTAATTACGCTGAAGATCACTGCAGGGAGGACTACTTGTTCACAGTGTCTCAAGGTTCATCTCTGCCATCCAGTACTTGGTTTGTTGATAGTGGATGCACTAATCATATGGCTCAAGATGAAAGTCTTTTCATTGAAATGGACAAATCAGTTATTGCAAATGTTAAGTTAGGAAATGGTACTGTGGTGAGATCACAAGGGAAAGGTACTGCTGTTATTCAAACTAAAACAGGTACAAA